TGTGTGAATGTGTGTACAGTTTTAATGTCGTCAGTGAGTCTGATGTTGGTGACGCATCTTAATCCAGGATTACATAACTCACACACAGTAGGGGATTACACGCACACACGCACACACACACACACGCACACACGCACACACACACACACACACACACACACGCACACACTTACATAGGATTGGAGGGGTCTGCGTGATGCCCTGGCGGTCTGACCACAGCAAAGCCGTTCTGTGCAGAAGAAGAAGAAGACTCTATTAATCAATGTTTGACAGGATACAAAGTTAAGCTGGTAAGAAACTAAGCTCTTTCAAAGTTGAAGGCTTACTGTATATGATGTATAGGAACATGATAAGTTTGGCGCACAAATAAAGACAAATCTTCATTAAAGAAAACACATATTAAAATATTATTTAGATATTGATGGGGTTGTATTTTAAGTAGTTTATAAGCACTTTATTCAATAATATAACGGAAAACCATTGTAATTAAATGGCAAAAAACTTATTCTAACTAAAATAGCACATGCTGTAGGTTCTTTGTTATTTTTGACGGTTCACATACAGTATGACTGCAAATCTTATAATTTATATATATATTATTATTATTATTATTATGTAACTTAGCTACACTTAAATACCGTAGATAGGCCTACTAGTGCAATAAGGGGTTAAGTATTTTGCCTAAGCACTTTTCAATATGGGGCTGGGAATTGAACCACTAGCCCTACTGAGCCATAGCCTGCCCAAAAATAAGAATTAGGTTAAGCTGTAATTTTTGTCACTCCACCACCGAGTTCTTAATTTTGTAAACATGAGGTCAAATACATGACATCTTGCAATGTAAACACAATGCTTCATGGAGGCCATTCAAGTTACTTATTATATTGCATTGTAAATAAGTATAGAGTATACATTCCCTGCCATATGTATAGCTTGGAAACAGCTGTTCTGAAGTGGAGTGGTTGATCCTGTGGTTTTGTTCGACCACTGCTCGGTATAGACTGAGCTTTAGTGGCCTGCCCTGTTTTACATCGTTTTTTTGTTGTTTTTTCTTTAGGTTAGTACTGTGTGGTTTGTAGCTATGAGCTTCAAGTCAATCATATTTTTGAGAAATCTGAATAAGAAAACAAGAATAAATTCATGTTTAGCAAAGGAAAGCCACGATGAGACAGGAAAAGTCTTTCCTGAACCTTTTCTTTGAAGTCGGCTAGTGGGACGAGTAATACTCTGGTGTATATTTCCCTTTAAAACACTAAGTCACACAAACAATTTCAACTGGGACATGTCTCCATGCTTTAATGTTCAAAAATGTCTTTATTGTTCTCAGACTGCCTGTGCTGCAACACCTCTTTTCACCCTCTGTCTGAAACCAGAGCCCAGTCTGCTCTCATTGGCTAGCTGGCCGGCTCTGTTGTGATTGGTCAACCGCTAAGCGATGTCCCACACCTTAGACCAGGGGTGCCCACACTTTTTTGGCTGGTGAGCTACTTTTGAAATGACCAGCTCACCGAGGTCTACCAACCAAAAATAAAATCCCAAATTGCAAGGGTTGCTGAATAACACGTTTTTTTATACATGGGATAACTACAATAGGGCTGCCTGCAACAAACGACTAATTTGATAATTGATTAATCTATCGATTAATGAAACGATTAATGGACTATTCGGACTATTACTGCCTTGCACAATTTCTCAAACGCTCTTATTTAGCCATCAACTTTTAGATTTAGCTTGAGGTTGTTTTAGGCATGTGGAAACTAACAATGAAGACAATAAAGTTGAATACTTGATTGAAAAATACATATATTATTAAATTAACTTAACAAATTGTGAACAAAATTAACATTGCTTTTTATTTAAATAAAATAAATAATATTTCACATCAAAAGAAACAACAATGTTTTAACAAATCGTATTAAATAATCTGATGACATAAGTCCTGCACTCCCTTACCGTTGTGTTTGGCCCCAAGAAGGGGGCCCCTCAGAAAGACCACCGAGACATCGGGGTAGGTGCCACGTTGCAAAGGGGAGTTCCATGGGCAAACATACCACGATAAGTCAACACAATAGAAATAGGTTAGAATACCCACAGACTAATCACACACTACCGCCAACAACCAACTCAATAGAGAAATAAACAATATAATCCAATAAGAAACACCAAAAA